CAGATCATTCTTAAACATTATCCTTTTGACTTACTCCATCAACAGAAAGTTTCAAAATGTTTACTGATGACTGAAGTCATGAATATCTTCAGCTGAAGGGAATGTTGAGCCAAAAGAAAAATGTGCACTGTGATCCTTTCATAATGCACACACTGTCTGGATACATAACAAATATTCACTACAGCAGGATGCATGTAGCACAGAGTCACTAACTGGGCCCTCCAACAACATGTAATGCATGAGCAAGAGAGATACACAGTGTTTTTATTATGTGAATAAACCAAATAAAGAACATTCAGAGTTGGAGTAATGTGCATCTTCTGCCAACCATATAAACTCCATTACAAAATCCTGACTGAAAACAATATGTCTGATGCATGATGTGTCCCTTGGTTTACAGAAAAAAATGTTGCTGGACTAATAGTCTAATATAAGTGTTTGGTAGCAACTATGAAATTAAAATTCCAAGTTATAATTTTAAGTTTGAAGCTCTTGATACTCTCAAAGGAGACAATGCTAACAAAAATTGGTCCTATTTTCCCAAGGCTGGATTGGCCAACAGAACATCCAACCTAGCTAGCTTATCATCAGCACAACCACTTTTTGAGTGATTAGTCACCTACAGGAACCAACAGCTGTATGTGCAAATCATGCATATAAATCAATTACTGGGGCGCTATGTACTTTAAATGCACCCATTAATTAAGTAATGTCAGACACAATGAACCATGAAGTTCATTACATTTTTAGCATTCAAACCCAGGATTATTTGAAGAGTGCATAAGAGAGATGGAGACAGGTTTACCTAATGATTAGCCCCATAGCTCAGTGTTGGCAGACGCCAGTGGAAATTTCAGGAAAGCTGTTCTGAGAGGAGACAGAACGGCAGCGAGCTGTTTCAGCAATCTACAAAACACGAAAGGGCTGATGAAAAGGAAACAACAAGTCGGAGCTGTACCTACTTTTGACTCAAAAGAGAAACATGCAAACTCTCACACAGATAATCCTAAATTATACCTGGAAGATTGAGACGATTGCTTTTTAAAATATAATCACTTTGCATTTTCTCAGAACCAGCATGCACAGGAAACTGACATTAGAGCAAAGATAAACAATGCATTCAGTAAGTGCTTCTTAAGAGTTTGAAAATTGTCTTGGTACAATAAGTGAGGTAAAAAAAAATGCAAGATTTTCTTTAAACAACAGTGCTATGCAAGTGTTTTGTATAGTTATGTGGGTCTGCATATGCCAATGTGTATTTGTAAGTGTGTACATGTCTGTGACCCCAGTGTTGCCTCATGCCAGGCTTTAAGTTTGGCTCTATTCTGTTTGGTGGTGTTAGATGGTAGGAGAGGTTGGGGGAGGTGCAGAGGAAAGAAGCTGGGCCCAGCTGCCTGGCATTAAGCTATGACCTCTGCATAATGAAAGATGCCGACAACGTTTCCAACTCACAAGGTTCCACACTGTGACAAAATTTGCATATTCATATCTCTTCGCAAATTATTTTTTCTATGAGCAGGACATCTGCCTTCATGACACTGCTCTGGAAGAAGAAAAATAAATAAATACATGCGCAGAGAGGCACATGATCTATCCAGATGCCACAGAAATATGGCATGATGTTGACATCATCGTACACCCTGAATGTATGTGTTTTCCACGGTTAAGCACCAGGAAATCATGTTCAGGGTCAGTGGAGAAGAATACAGTTTGGGAGGAACAACCTGACAGAGGTCTAGAATCTATCTGTTTTGCATATTATTGTTCTACCACAGAGACATAAATGCTACTGTAACACTGGTGTAGCAGGTTACACACAGCTGGGGCCAAATGTCTCAGAAGAAAGGAGCTAAATGAACAAGCTCTTTCATATAACCAGTTGGGCCTAATCTTAAAGGTGAGGTGAAGATTTTTAAACAATCAAAATAATAGATGGAATGGTAAGAAAAAAAAGGAACATACTATACTTATACAAATGTATAAAAACTTCATATGATTTAGGTGTTATGCAAATAAACAGGATATAGTTAAAACTGAGACTGCAAGGCCGTGTGCACATAGGAAATCTCACACAGAAACAGAAAAGAAAAGTTGAGGAGGCCAGGAATGCTGCAACGAAAATGTAAAGATGATGGAGCAAAGAACTCCAAACTGAAGAAAAACCTGAGTAGTTATGAAGTGAAGAACAAATGATCTGTCATATTTAGTAGCATCAGTAGTGGATATAAAATAAAACAAAGATGCATGAGATGCAAACACTGTGTAAGGAGAGGGGTGCACAACTGATGAAGTGTGAAGATGGTTTGATCTCAAATCTGAAGCAATAAAACAAACAGGGAAGAGAGATGCTGACCAGTGGAGGCAGAAAGGCTGGTCCAGAGTTTTCTGAGCTGGACCAGCACATCAGGGCCATACATGGCTCTCTCAGGTGTGCCACCAGCTCCATGTGTGCATCCAGTTCTCTTTAACTACCCCAAGTCTGGTCTCAGATGTGGTGCTGGACAACCAAACGCTTACACAGGGAGCCTCAACACTGGACACAATATCTGACCGACACTTAAAGAAATCAACAGAAATTAGAAATAAAGATATGCACTCAGACATGTTTGGATTTTAAGTAGTGTTTCCTAATTCTAAGCTACAAGTAGTCACATTGTAAAAGCTAAATTATTTTTTAAAACCTTGATTTATAAATAAGCAATTAATTGCTTGTTTAGTGTAGTGTTTATTCATTTTAAAAGACCATAATGCTTTGTAATATAATGGGAAACTGAAAATACAGGCGTGTAGAAAAACAGTAAGATGTTCATCAAAAGAAATGCTTGTGTTTTCTTTTAAAAATCAAAAAAGCTTTTAAAAAAAAAGTGCAGCAAAAGTCGGAATTTGAATCCCTTTTATTTAGTTGGATAACTTTAATTCAAATTAATCAGGCTGAGCTGCACCCGCCAACCGTGCCCCAAGAGTTGCCGATCTCAGTGTGCAGCATAACGATCACCACGGTGCTGCTGAATACAAACTGTTTTATGTGAATACCTCAAGCAGAGGGCTACATAAATATAGAATTAGACAAAGTGTTTTTTTTTTCTTTTTATGTTTTATTTTTCCACTCTTTTCTCATTCTCCAGCAACATGCCCAGTTTGGGATGGCTCTAAGCAGTTGCACGCACTTCAAAAAGTTGCAGTTCCCTTATGATAGCTCTGCAAAAAGGTTTTTCTTTTAACTTAAATCAGCAAATGTGTGGAGCAGAGACCTGGCGGCATGTTCCCACCCCCCAGAAATAATTGCTCAGAGGGATCAATTTGAAATTTAAATTGCGGTGAAAGGATGTTTGTCATTACCAATCAAATATTTGAACCGCTGAAACACTTTTGTCCTGTCTGCCTCTGCCCCCAGCTGGAAAATCTTGTACAGGCCATTGTGAAAAGGAGGTGATGTTCTTAGAAGCAAAAACAAAAGGAGAAACGCCCTTCATCAAAATATACAAACTTATATGCTGTAAAAGTATTACCACATCAAAACAAATATGGAGACCAGCACATTTAAAATGCATTTATGTTGCTCTCGAGATCAACTTTGTGTTGCACAAAACACAGATTGGGACAAACAGAAATAGCAAATAGAAAATATAGGCAGTGAGTAAAAGAATAAGTAAATTATGAATAAAGAAAGGAGTAAGTTACAACATATAGAGAGAGTGGGAAGAACTTCCTGTCATCTCTGAGAGGCAGTGTCTCTGCTTAATATTCATTAGGGGACTGATTGAATTTGGAGGTTTAGCACTGTCACTGTTAATGGAGTGATCTCTAATTGAAGTGCATTATTGTAGGTTCTGGCTAATGTCAGAGAGAGAGAAAGGCAGGGTGCAAAATAACAGCTGAAGACATCCTGTCTCTGCTGAAATTACACCAAAATAAACTAGAAGTTGATATCTGATGAGAATTTGCATAAACAGTAGTAAACAATCAATGAATTCCCAGTAGGATAATGGAAACTTTCAGCATTTTCTTATTTTATATCATAATTAAATCTAAAAATGGAGTTTGGTTTATTATTATTTTTGTTGTCTTCATACCAAAAATTGTAATAAGTCTCCATCAGATCTCTGTGGAATAGAAACGAATGTGCTTGATCTGTCTGTGTGAGAAAGGGAGAGAGCAGGATATGTGTGTGTGTCCTAGTGCACTGTGTACCATGTCCCAAGGTCAAGATGGTAATGGTTTTAACGTGGAAGTGCAACGCAAGGCCAGAGTAAGGTATGCTCCTGATAATGACGAGCACCAGTGATTGCTGTCATCATTAAGCAAGACCCAAAACTTGATCCGTAATGGCTCTCCATAAAGGAGACTCATCATCGATGACAATGACTGGCTATTAAGATCTGATTTTAGGTGGGGCTACAGCTTTAGTATGATAGGGTCGCTATCTATAAAACCTTTAAAGCCTGCCCTCAACGACATCAGCCCCAATCCCCATCTCCCTGCGCCCTGTGCCAGAGACACATGCTAATAAGCTCACAACCTTTAATTAAGCAATATGTGTAAGTAGGCAGTCATTATGGCCTGATTTGTGAGCCATTTCATTACACTGAGCACCGGCTAGCAGACACATACTCAGTACAAATCAAGCTGGCCTGAATATTATCCTGCTTAATGTGAGGCCAATACGGATATTTTATCACTGGTGTTCTGATTAGTGACTTTTAGAATCTTCATCTTTCATTGTGTTGAGGCACCTCTGAACACGTAACAACCTGCATTCATCAGAAGCGTTGCTGAACATTATTATCAGGTTGCAAATAGCTTGTCATATATTCTATTGGTATTGATTAGGGATAACAATCACATTTATAGCATTGTCTGTGGTTCTTGTTATTCTGCATGAGTCAACCTTTGGCTCCCAACATTTATCCCTTTGACCATATTAAGCATTTTATTTTTGTGATTAAGTGGTACAGCTCCTAAAAAGTACTACAAGAAACATGCAGTTCTGAAATGACTGACTCACAAAGACAGAAAAGGAGAACATTTATACTTGTCTGGCCAGACATAAGCACAAGAAGGTGGAACAAAGAAACACTATATATTACACAAATTAATATAAATAGGATTAACTTGAAATAGTTTTTCAATTTAATCCACATTATTACTATGCCCTTTCTACTTTACGGACACAATTTACTGTATAATGATCAACGTATATGAAGCTATGACTTAACTTATGATCTCTCCCAGTAAATCCTAATGATATATACAATAGAAGAATCATTGCCCTGCGCTCCTCCTTTTGCAAGAGGAATGCCATTCCAGGATAAAGGCAGCAAACAAAACAGAAGGAAGCATTCAATTTAAATACTAATAATACATCAAGTGTGTTTTTATAACACGAAATGTAACAGTACTAAATTAGAAGTATTAATGACAGAGTCGAGAAATGGTTTGGGGAAACAACTTAACCTGTAAGACACATATGACTTACATAATGGTTCAACTATCCTTCTCTACTTTTTCAGTCACTGGTTGAGGTCCTGCAGTGCAAAACTGGAGCCACACCCACTCCCTCCTAATGGTTCAACACGATGGGACCCTAAGGGAATGAAACGCCTGGTGAAACTGTGTCACTTCTGTTTAAGCAAACAGCAGGCAGGGAAGGTGTGCACAAGTAAGAAGACCATGTGCACTTTCAAACATAAAAAAACAACATATACAAGGTGATCATTTGACACTCACGCCCAAAGAGTTTCTTTCGCTTCCGTAGCTTATGCTGAGCACTTGCACCTTCCTTGTCCTCTCTTTGACTGGCAGATCCCCAGCCTGGGCAGGGCATCATCCTGGCAGTGTTGTTCACCCCCTCTATGTTGCCAATCACCTTCAGAAAAAAAAGCCCAGCCATGCTACAGTCAGTAACACTTAACATGAACAGACACTTACCAATAAATTAGCAATACAAAAATAATAAAGTCACACATGCCATGAAACCCCAGGGGTAGGTCACAAGTCTCTCATACTACAGGTTGAACTTGGATAAGAGTGACTGAGAGCGGCAAGGGAACTGTTATTTTCCACCAGGCCTGTGAGTAGCATTGTCATATGGTCTGTAGCTCTATCCTAGAATAAACTTTGAGGAAAAGAAAAAATGGAGGATTTATATGACACATTATCTCACAGCTCTTAAACAGCTCTCACAATTCTGGGTTTGCCTAAAATACAACTGAAATGATAACACAATAAACTGTCCATTTTTCTACAAACAACAACAACTGCAACAAAATATTACTTTAAATATATAAAAATTAAATTGAGCGATATACAGTCAATTATGACTGATAACTTAGAAGTTAAATCAAAAGGACTTCTGCATTTTTTTCTGCACATCTTCAGCTTACACTGTATTTCATAACAGCATCAAGTAGTTATGTCCAACATGTAGACTGGCACTTTTCTAAAGTTGTAAATTACACAGATAAAACAGCAATTGAGCAAACTTGAAAAAATGTTCCAAAGAGTGCTTCTTTATCTAAAACTAGTATAAATTTGCCAGATAATTACACGCAGTGTACTTTGGAGAAGTCCTCCTGCTACGGAGCTATGGCTGCCAGGGAGGCATTAATCTCCTCCTGCAACATATAACCAAGGACACTGGTTATATGAGGACCTCTCTCTCTCACCCTCTCTCTGTCTCATGTGGCTCAACACATATCATAAAAAACAGACAGTACGCACAGAGACACCACATACACAGTACACTCACTTTCTGCATAAATCATATTCACATTTCTGAGGGCTGCCAATGACCTCACAGCAAATGAAGCATGGTTCCTCAGCTCCGGCGTAGCAATCAAACGTGCGGCAGAGTAATTACAAAAGAGGGGTAGGAGGGAGAATTGATGCGGTTTGTCAATTAATGTTGCTGCAAGGTGTTTTGGAAAGGTTACCTTCTTCATATTCTCTGCATGCTAAATCAGGTTAATATTGGTCCAGCAAGGAGTCATCATCATGTGCAGATGGACAGTGGGCTGAGTCATGGCGAGCCAAGACAGAGGGTCTTTGTTCATGATCATGATGATGACACGTCTCTTATTAGAGCAGTCTTTGGTGCCCTTTCCACCTTTGTATCTCTCTGCTTCTCATTTCACTGGAATCATCTCCAGTATCTTTAGTATTCCTATCATCATCGGCTGTCGCTGTTATTATAAAAAGGGTAATATAATTATACAAACCATGCACAATATAAAACATTCATCTGTGCAGAGGTAATTAAATTTAAAGGACTTAAAAACTTGCTCTGTGAATAAACTGCATAGCTTTTGTTTCTATGAACAAGTTGAGTGCATACCAAAAAAGAAAAAAAAAGCACTGCTGAAGTTGCAGAGAAAAGTGTTTTTATTTGTACAAGTCGCTGGAGATGCTCATCATCAGCGTTTTTTCCGAGCCATAAATAATTTGCAGAGAAAGGTAATATTCAAGCTGGCAGAGCCTTAGTTGTGCATCTTTAATGGAAGTTTTACAGAAGCTGAGCCAGTTCTTGCATATGCTGCTGCTTCCCATATGGAGGCAAGGAGACAAAAGGAGCACAGTTGGCTTGTCCTATCTTTTTATAAGTCCATCGACACTCAAATGCTAGCCTGGGAGAAAAAACGACACAGGGGGACATAAACCCACTGTGGTTTTAGGAGGGAAGATAATGACTTTTCTTGCATTCATTTCTTCATCAGCCATCTTGTTTCTTCAGACAGAGTGGTTATGAGGCCCTCTCTGAAGGTCCCAGCTTATATAGATTCATTTCCCTGCATAATTTCAGCCCTAACAGTTGTTGTCAGCAGTGGCTTTTGTGAGCTGGCAGCTGGGGAACATCTGTTCATAGGTAATGAGTCTTTGAAAAGCTACACCTCACTCTACCTTTAATGTCTTTTTATTGGAGCACACTGATGGGAATGTAGGTTTAACTTTTTGTATTGTTTTGATTCAGCTAGAAGATTCCTTCAACATAGTCCAGTGTTACAGACATCTGCCTTGGGCAACAGACTGAATGAGGGCATATAATGTATCATTAATATTAACTTCTTTAAACAGAGTTCAGCATGCAAGTCAATAAAGACTTCATTATATTTTTTACAACACACCCACAACTTCAGTTTTACTCCATTCCTACTTCTTGCTAATGATGCAACACAGAAAAACAATACTTTCAGTCAACATAGTTAGTTCAGTAATGGCTGAATAAACAGCAGAAATATTTAATTTCTCATGACTCTTGCTCAGTGTCTCAGTCTTCAGTAAATCAAACAGGACACACCTTGACATTCTGTTCCTTGCAGTGTCTATAGCTCAGGGCACTTGCTTTTTAAGGTGTTCATTTAGACAAATTTTGGATGTAATTTTAGGGTATTATGCAAAACCGCTGGCCCCTCGAGCTGTGGTCATGTTAGTCTAAGGGAGGAGCGAGTCCTCAGGGGCACTGGTATCCAGGACACTGCCTGCAAAAACAGAGCTCTTCAAAGGAAATGAGCCATTCGTCAATATTTCCTCGGTAAATGGAAACAGACTTCTTAAGTAGCAGGATTAGTCTATTAGCTAACTGGTACAGAGAATGCAGTTATGTTACAGTCAAATTAAATTAAATATTTCTGCAACTGTCATCACCATGAAAAATATCATTTAGATAATACTATTATTAAGGACAATGAGCAAAAAAACAAAAACAAAACAAAAAACAAAATATTATTGTCTGCTGTGCACTGTACATGGCCTATTCTGGCATGTAAAACTAATGTGAAAGTTATGACACATTGGTATAGTACAATATAGCCTGTGTGACAATATCAAATATATGTTACAGTAGCATATCTGACTGAAAGAATAGCAAATTACATTAGTTTTTTATTGCTTAAACAGGATCCATGCTACATAAAGTAGTACTGTACCTAGTCTACCAACATAACAGTGTAACTACATAACCATAAAACATGCTATTATTTGGATAAGTGAATAAAGTAATAGGACTATACTGGAAACCTCATAAAATTGTTTTAAAATGTAATAAATCTAAGAAGAGAAGCGAACTTCTCTGCATTACTGTGGTCACAGCAAACCACAGTAAAGCCCTTTTCTATATCTCATTCTATATTTTTTATCTATTTAATTTTTGTAGGAGTGCCCGCGCAGCTGTTATTTCTCTCCAAGGAGCTGTCACCTTACATCTGAGGGCCAGTTTGTACACAGCACCCTGTCACAGTGTGTATATCGCTGTCAGAATTATATAAAGCACTAATAAAATCAGCTCAAGTGTTCTTCCGAGTGCTGGGAATGCCCCTCAGTGATTCCTGGATCTTGCTCTATACATAAAACCAGTTTTATATATTCAGGGGAGGATTAGTTTTGAATATGTAAAGTGGGGGTCTGTGCTGCGAGGCGAATGGGAATGGCATAGTGCTCTCCCGGTGACGCTGAGCATTGGTGTTATCGCTCCCCACTACCAGTCGGTGAAAGGGAATGCCATCGGCATCTCTTGCTACTGGAGGCCTCTGCTTGTTAAGTTGCAAGGAACAGACAGCAACACCCAAGGGACACAGTGTGTGAGAAAAGAGAGCAACAGAGAGACAGACTATGTATGTGTTGTGTGTTTCCCTAGGACAGTAACACCTATCTTTCACTTACGGTAGCCTCTATGAAACCGCCTTAGCAGTTTAAAGAAGGGTCAGTCACCAGGTAGAATGATTTCTCACAGTAGAAATGTCAGGAATGTATTGTTTCTCTCAGTAAGCTAAGGTTGTGTGTGTGTGGCTATACGTGTGCTCAATGTACATAAGTGGACATCTGCATCTTTTTGTAGGGAGCGAAGATCTTTGTTTGTGTGTATATCTGCGTCAATGTGCGCATGCTGTTTGGCTATATACAACACTCCCCAGATGTCTCATCTGCTATGCACAGGTCTAGAGGATATACACACACACAAATACGCACACAGACAGTGTGACACCAGTAATAAATACATCATGCTGTCTGTTTACTCACATAAGCTCACCATCACTCAAATTATGACGGAGAACCATTAGAACGCAATAAAGCCTCAGAGCTAATTGTTAGCGCATGTAACTCCTTCCATCCTCACTCCTCTGACGTTCAAACTTCAAAATATTAATTCTGGTGGGATGATCCAGGTTATGCTTGGGAACTGACAGAATGATTGAGGAAGGACATTAATTCTTGTTACTGCAGAAGTTTGTCACAAAACAGTACTTTTAATTAGGTGACAACCTGTGAATCAGCCTGTTTCTGACCTGCATAATCATAAATGATAACACAGGATTATGCACTAGGATTTATAGAATAGCATGCAAACAGTAAATGTTATATTCTGAAAAGAGAGAAAAAAGATGAGTTTTGTTTACAAAGATTTACAAAGTAATCATTGAATCATTTTCAATAAAAAAACCCACAATCTAATTAGGTTTTGCCCAAGGAGAAATTTTTAAAAACTAAATAAAAATCTGTCAGTTATTCACCCTTTCAGACCACAGAGCTGTACTGCTGTCTTCTTATTTCACTAATTCAAGAATAAGGAACTAGCTACTGCATCCAGGTTTTTGTCTCTCCTGCCCCTTCACACTCTCCTTAGAGAGAGAGGAGGGAGTGCGTATGCACATCCATCTGCCCTCCCTTTACTTATATTCACTTCATTTATCTCAAAATGCAAACTTCAAGTAGAAAGGGGCCAAAAAGAAAAACAAAAAAGAAAGAAAGAAAGGAAATAGACTTTCTTTATAAATTTTAATGACTGGTGACCATCTAGATTTTGCCACTTTTTGAACGTATATATGGGTAACTCCAAAAATATTTGATATTACCTATTGACTTCAATTAACTGCCAAATTATGTTCTATTTAAATTACATGTGCAGTCATCACAAGCATCCTGCATAATTTCTTAAAAAAAAAAAAATCATCCTTGTACAAATATTTTGAAGATTTTGTTGGTCTTAAAACATCTGCATGATTGACTTCTAATACAGATCCAGATGCAAGTGAAAATTAAAGCTTCTTTTTCTTTTATTAAAATAATAGATTTAGAGGAACATGGCCTTGGCGTAAATGCTCTCTCTGTGTTTATGGTTTTAATGCAATGTTGTTCTTCATGGGCCGCCAGGTGGGCCACAATCCTGTACTTATCAGCTTCCTGTCTGAACTCTACCCACAGACTCGGTAGTATTAGTACCAGTTGGTACAGTAGCACTGTCTCATGTTGTCATCTTTTCAATAAAACATGTGGCCAGACTAAATTCTCTCTCTCTCTGCAGGACAAAGAACGCAGTTTCTTCCTTTACCACTGGCCTTGGTTTTCATTGCAAGGTGAAACTGTCTTGTTCATCTGCTAATTAGCTGCTGTAACAGGTAATTTTTTTTTAAACTGCAAGCCAAGCAGTTTCAAAAGAAAAAGGTGGTAATCAATTCCTTGGAATCAATGGCTCTCCAGACTCGCTTCACACACTGAGGACCCACCAGAGGTGCAAGGCCCAACCCAGCTGACAAGCTAGGATAAACGGGACCGCACGCTTCTGCCAGCCATGGATCAGCTCAGTGATATGCAGTGGAAACAATGGACAAACACACATCTGGTCGCTTGCAAGTGCAATTATCAAGAAAGACCAAATTCCATTACATGTTGCATGTTAATGTTGGATGCTTAGTAGGTTTTTATTGCGATTTTATATTTTGTTTTCTAGTTTTTGACTGAGTTGCTTTGCTCATTGTAAACTTTTGTTTTCACTCATATAGATCTTCCATTCGCTCTCTTTTCTTCTCTGCTTATGTGCCACATATATTCACACTTTGACAGCAGGATCTCTGTGTTTGGAGCGAGTTAGTATAAAGCCGAGCTGGAAACTCAAGCTTCCCGCCTCAGGCTTATAATCCTTTGTCTGCGCACTGTCACAGACACGTCCTCATTCTCTCCTGCAGATACACGCTGCTCCTTCTCTTGCCCTCTCTT